GGACGTGGAGACCGTCAGATACAACAGGACGTGGAGACTGTCAGATACAACAGGACGTGGAGACCGTCAGATACAACAGGACGCGGAGACCGTCGGATACAACAGTCCGTGGAGACCGTCAGATACAACAGACAGTGGAGACCGTCAGACACAACAGGACGTGGAGACCGTCAGATACAACAGGACGTGGAGACCAACAGACCAAAAGATACATCAGACTGTGGAGACCGTCAGATACAACAGACAGTGGAGACCGTCAGACACAACAGTCCGTGGAGACCGTCAGACACAACAGTCCGTGGAGACCGTCAGATACAACAGGACGTGGAGACCATCAGACACAACAGTCCGTTGAGACTGTCAGATACAACAGACAGTGGAGACCGTCAGATACAACAGACCGTGGAGACTGTCAGATACAACAGACAGTGGAGACCGTCAGATACAACAGACCGTGGAGACCGTCAGATACATCAGACCGTGAAGACCGTCAGAAACAACAGTCCGTGGAGACCGTCAAATACAACAGTCCGTGGAGACCGTCAGATACAACAGTCCGTGGAGACCGTCAGATACAACAGGACGTGGAGACCGTCAGATACAACAGGACGTGGAGACCGTCAGATACAACAGTCCGTGGAGACCGTCAGATACAACAGGACGTGGAGACCGTCAGATACAACAGGACGTGGAGACCGTCAGATACAACAGGACGTGGAGACCGTCAGATACAACAGGACGTGGAGACCGTCAGATACAACAGGACGCGGAGACCGTCAGATACAACAGTCCGTGGAGACCGTCAGATACAACAGACCGTGGAGACCGTCAGATACAACAGGACGTGGAGACCGTCAGATACAACAGTCCGTGGAGACCAAAAGATACATCAGACTGTGGAGACCGTCAGATACAACAGACAGTGGAGACCGTCAGACACAACAGTCCGTGGAGACCGTCAGACACAACAGTCCGTGGAGACCGTCAGATACAACAGGACGTGGAGACCATCAGATACAACAGTCCGTTGAGACCGTCAGATACAACAGACGTGGAGACTGTCAGATACAACAGACCGTGGAGACCGTCAGATACAACAGACGTGGAGACCGTCAGATACAACAGACCGTGGAGACCGTCAGATACAACAGACCGTGGAGACCGTCAGATACAACAGTCCGTGGAGACCGTCAGATACAACAGTCCGTGGAGACTGTCAGATACAACAGTCCGTGGAGACCGTCAGATACAACAGTCCGTGGAGACCGTCAGATACAACAGTCCGTGGAGACCGTCAGATACAACAGTCCGTGGAGACCGTCAGATACAACAGTCCGTGGAGACCGTCAGATACAACAGTCCGTGGAGACCGTCAGATACAACAGGTCCGTGGAGACCGTCAGATACAACAGTCCGTGGAGACCGTCAGATACAGATACAACAGTCCGTGGAGACCGTCAGATACAACAGTCCGTGGAGACCGTCAGATACAACAGTCCGTGGAGACCGTCAGATACAACAGGACGTGGAGACCGTCAGATACAACAGGACGTGGAGACCGTCAGATACAACAGTCCGTGGAGACCGTCAGACACAACAGTCCGTGGAGACCGTCAGATACAACAGGACGTGGAGACCGTCAGATACAACAGACGTGGAGACCGTCAAATACAACAGTCCGTGGAGACCGTCAGATACAACAGGACGTGGAGACCGTCAGATACAACAGACCGTGGAGACCGTCAGATACAACAGGACGTGGAGACCGTCAGATACAACAGACCGTGGAGACCGTCAGATACACAACAGGACGTGGAGACCGTCAGATACAACAGGACGTGGAGACCGTCAGATACAACAGGACGTGGAGACGTCAGATCAAGATACGTGGAACAGATACAACAGGACCTGGAGACCGCCAGATACAACAGGACGTGGAGACCATCAGACACAACAGTCCGTGGAGACCGTCAGATACAACAGGACGTGGAGACCGTCAGACACAACAGACCGTGGAGACCGTCAGATACAACAGGACGTGGAGACCGTCAGATACAATAGTCCGTGGAGACCGTCAGATACAACAGTCCGTGGAGACCGTCAGATACAACAGTACGTGGAGACCGTCAGATACAATAGTCCGTGGAGACCGTCAGACACGACAGTCCGTGGAGACCGTCAGATACAACAGTCCGTGGAGACCGTCAGATACAACAGTCCGTGGAGACCGTCAGACACAACAGTCCGTGGAGACCGTCAGACACAACAGTCCCTGGAGACCGCCAGATACAACAGTCCGTGGAGACCGTCAGACACAACAGTCCGTGGAGACCGTCAGATACAACTGGACGTGGAGACCGTCAGACACAACAGACCGTGAAGACCGTCAGATACAGCAGGACGTGGAGACCGTCAGACACAGCAGACAGTGGAGACCGTCAGACACAACAGTCCGTGAAGACCGTCAGATACAACAGGACGTGGAGACCGTCAGATACAACAGACAGTGGAGACCGTCAGATACAACAGTCCGTGGAGACCGTCAGATACAACAGGACGTGGAGACCGTCAGACACAACAGTCCGTGGAGACCGTCAGATACAACAGGACGTGGAGACCGTCAGATACAACAGGACGTGGAGACCGTCAGATACAACAGGACGTGGAGACCGTCAGATACAACAGTCCGTGGAGACCGTCAGATACAACAGTCCGTGGAGACCGTCAGATACAACAGTCCGTGGAGACCGTCAGATACAACAGTCCCTGGAGACCGTCAAATACAACAGGACGTGGAGACCGTCAGACACAACAGTCCGTGGAGACCGTCAAATACAACAGTCCGTGGAGACTGTCAGATACAACAGGACGTTGAGACCGTCAGACACAACAGACCGTGGAGACCGTCAGATACAACAGGACGTGGAGACCGTCAGATACAACAGTCCGTGGAGACCGTCAGATACAACAGGACGTGGAGACCGTCAGACACAACAGACAGTGGAGACCGTCAGACACAACAGTCCGTGGAGACCGTCAGACACAACAGACCGTGAAGACCGTCAGATACAATAGTCCGTGGGGACCGTCAGATACAACAGGACGTAGGGACCCTCAGATACAACAGGACGTAGGGACCGTCAGATACAGCAGATTGTGAAGATTGTTCGTTGAGACTGTTAGATGAAATGTGACAAAGCTGAATACCCACAAGGAGGTTTTAACGACGTTTTGCCTTGATACCCGTTATGCCCTAAGCATATTTGTAGAGTCAACTGGTTCTGTTTCATAACGACGTAAATTCATACCATCTGTGATGGAACCTAGGGTGTTGTTGGAGTCAGAGGTCAGTGTGATTGAACCTTTGTCATGCCCAGTTCATACCTCAGCGTTCTACACTGTATTGACAGTGTGGCGTATGGTTGGTCATTGGTCATCCATACTCCACAATCACTGTAGACTTTCAGTAGAACATACTTTATGATAGATACAAACACTTTGAAGCCTTCTGAAAACTGCCCGGGAGTTGCAATTGGTTCAAAGGTCGCGAGTAACAATGGGAACTGATTAGTTGGTTCTGCACATACGTCCTAGTTCAAGCCCCGAACATTATAACCTCCACTCGTAAACATTTAGGGCATTTCATTTAAACTTCTGAAATTATGTTATAGTTATTTTTATGTGCCTAATACCGATAAACAAGATCGATTTACTTTTCGGTTCCTTATTTAAGAAAAAAACTTTCAAGAAAGTACCTACAGTTTCGGAAAGTACAAATATAAAAGTCACCGAACGGAAACTTGTTTGATTGTGGTTGAACACTTAACAACCACATTGAACATATGATAGTGATGTATTAATCACTATGGATATTGCATGCATCATATCAGTTATTGTCTAATGACAGGCAAGGACTGTAAAGTTTATATCAAATCCAGTTTAAAGCGCATATTGCTTTTGCGCGGTAGTTGTTAAGGTAATTCGCCTGAAGACTAAAGTGACGTGAAAGATTTATAGACACATGTTCATTGAATCGAATCCTTCAATTATAGATCATGTATCTTTTCAAACTGTTTCGGTTACCTTTGCAACTCCATTTTACCCTGGCAACATTCACAAATCACCATCTCAGTACCTCTTTCAAATTGCAATCACAAAAAACTTAAAACATAATCGTTTTTCATCAAGTATCTTGCACACAGAAGTGCTCTGAAGTGATGACATATGTGCAACGTAAAATATTTAACCGGCTCTTAACAACAAGACACTAATGAATCTTGTTAAAAGTCCCTTTCGTGAAAAAATAACGAGTAAAAGCATTTAGATGATGCTGACATTCGTGTACCTTTTGATGAGGAAGTTCTCTGAATTGATATCTTTCTGCATGTCAGCACTAGAATGATAAGGATAGAAATTTACATGCTGAAATGGAGCAGTGTTATTGACAAATATGCATGTCTACCCAAACATGTTCCTATAATAACGGGCTTATCGCGTATTCTCAAGCTTCAAATTACTTTACAAGATTCCCAAACCCTCCGCTATGCTTCTTCTGTCATCTAACATATTTTAACAAAATGTCTCTTTAGCGTTTAATGACTACCATTTAACAAAAGACTACAAAGTAATCTATATAGTGTTTGCCCGTGTGTTGTGAATGGTAGTTATTGTCGGCGGGTTGAGAGATGTTTACCTTGTTTATACCCTGGGGGAGGATGCTGAGGGGAGAAGATGCTTTGTAGCCAAACACAACCATCAAAGTACCCAACTAACACTTCACATATTCAATTTCAAGTGACCCGTCGAAGGAAATTATTTCAACTAATGAAGTTCTCCTTTTGCCAAGCATCAATTGACGGAAGCCGCGAGACGGGAACGGTTGGAGAGGAATTCTGTTGTTTGATTGGTTGCAGAAGGAATGATTGACAGACGCTCCGCCCATTTTGGAGCGCAACTGTTGTAAGGTTGACAAGCATATTAGAGGTGATGATAGCATCACTTCCATCACGCGGGCAGATGCAGCATGGAGGCCTGACGCTTGCCCTTCAAACTATGGTTGCACAAAAACATTCATTTCAGTTGAACATACACTCACACGAGAAACATTTGATGGTAAACACTGACGGGCGAGCAATGAAACACACGCGTTTCTTTGTGGAAGACATTCTCAGACCTGACTTCGGAACGGGTAACTCCCACCCGGTATCTCCAGAAGGTCATCAGGATGGGTCCCCTTCATCCTCACCTGATCACCCACGTAGCCAGGGGTCCGAGCCGCACCCTCAGGACGTGGGGGAAGGGAAGGTGAACCTATGGCCTGCATGGGTATACTGTACCCGGTACTCCGACAGACCGTCCGCAGGTAGGCCAAACAGTTCCGTATTCATGATCTAGTGTTGGGGCGGGTTGCCAAATTGGTCGTTAATCTTTTGGTCATTACAGTAATCTATATAAGGTAAATCAAGTATATATAACACACATACCATGGTTGTGCCAGCGACATGTCATGCATTTGGATATAAGCAACTGGATTAGAAACATAAATATAACCTGAAAATTGATAAATGTAAAATATTCTTTCCGTAGGGGCATTTGTATGATAAACACATTTGAAAAAAGCTATTAAAGACTTAATCAAGTATTAAATATGTAACACTATCACTTGACTCACTTTAATATATATATTTTCAGAGGGTTACTATTAAATAGCTGAAGCAACATTATCATCACTGATACCAAATATTTAAACAATTTAGATTTTTAAATTTTATTAGAAAATAAACGTTTAACAAATTGCTAATATTTCATAAATCAAAGGAACAAACTCATTCAAGATCTAATAATGAGAAGGTTAAAACAATGATCATACGTATCGGGATGGAAGTCATGAGGCGGAATCACACCCTGAGTTTTTGTATGATTGTTAAAAAATGTTTCTGAGTTTATCTATTTTAATTAATATTGGTATCGAATTCTAGACCAAAACTGTTTTCATCTTGCTATTAATTGTATTCCAAATATGTAAACATTCCCTTTCAATGCATTGTTGTGCAGTATATCTGCACTCCAGCATAATGTGATTGTGAGTCAGTAATGAGATACGTTTTTACACAATTTCTTACAAAAGACCTGGAATTCACCACGTCAAACAACATCTATATTTCATTCTTCGCACATTCCATGGGTTGAATTCCTGTTTTCACAATCAATCTCTCCATCTCCCCCTCCTGCTTCTTTTCTCTCTTGAACTTATCTAAATGCATGTACTCGTAACATGGCATGTCTTGTGAGATGATCAAAGTCTCTCTAAATGCATGATGAATTTCCTTGATCCCAATAGGCAAGCAACTATGTCTTTTATCCATAGAGATAGCATTCAAAGCAAAGGTATTTTTCCTAAAAATATGCATATTAAAGTTACTTTCATTTAAAATGACATACGTTAAAACATACGCCGACATCCCGGGAAACATCTCGTGTCATAACTATTTGATTGTTATTCACGTGTTCAGAATGTAGTCCGACTCCTACAGCTGACTCAGCTTTTAACAGAGATCTCTTATGATTATGGAAAAGGTTTTGTCAGTTATATGTATGTACTACATCTCGCAGAGTCTTTATAGGCATTTAACAGTTGGATGTGAGATGACAAGTAATATTATGAATAACAGCTGTTCTATTGTATCTACATCAGGTGATGAAAGAGCAAGAAGCTCTGAGACGTTGTGTATATATGATAAAGACGTTGTTACCCATAATATTCCTTGTCGTGACTACAATGATGCTGACAACATTGATCAGTGTATAAACTATTTCGGATAACTCCACTCTACATAGGGAGTCCTGTCTTGACATATGCAGCATCAAAGCATATTCACGTCCAGGAGTATAAATATATTTGTATAGGCTCCCTGTTGAGATATGTGTTAAAAGGAATGCTTAACACAAAGTATCTTTACAAATATTCAGTATATTGTGAGTTTGGTAGTTGTTTTTCCCAATTGCTTTGTTAAAATGTTATCATCTTAGTAATAGGTTTTTTTTCTTATTACACTACTTTCCTATTTAACTCTTAATGTAAGTATACTTTTATACATACACATGGAAAACAAATATGTAAATTGAATAACGTTTTGATGGTATGTGGACATGGAGAATGGTTCGATCAACATCGTCGTCAGCGGCTCTGGATACATGTATGTGTCAGTTTTGAGAGAGGGGAGTTTGACGAGAGATTTTGTAACGAAGATAAAAACAGATCGTGATAGCATCAAAAATCTGTCACTCAACGCAAACCCTGTGAATATCCTTCTGTTAACTGAAGAGACATTTCTATATAGAATATAACGATAGGTCAGCAAAATATACCCGTACTGGGCCCTGTACCTCCCTCTTTATTACATTGCTGAACTTCACTGAAGTCACAGTTTGAACTCAGTAAACGTACTGGTGGACGTCAGCTGGCGTTGATATTACATCAGGAAGGTGGAAGTTTACTGATGTTATTCTTGAACACCTGATCTCATCACTGACTCCGTGATAGACTCATGTAATTATATATACAGTCATCATTTACGTAATCATTTAGTCACTCAATACTTTAAGTATGTAGACAACATATAACAAAAACGTATTCCGTAAATTAACAAAGAGAAATACTTTGACCACAGTAAACAGGGCTTTCGTTTTTTTCAATGTCATCTTAGCTACGCCCTTACTTAAAGATTGAGGATGTTATATGTTTATCATTTAATGTACCGATTACATTAAATGTAGTCACATATCTTTTGGTATATTTTTGCACTGTAATGTGGTCAAGGGGTATTATATTATATTGCATCAAAATGTACACTATGGTATGCATTTTATCATATATTTTACTGTAATGTGGTCAAGGAGCATTATATTATATATCAAAATGTACACTATCATATATTGCATCATTAAATGTACACTATCATATATTTTTACACTGTAATGTGGGCAAGGAGCATTATATTGCATATGTACACTATATTGCATCAGGAGCATTAATATGTACACTGTACACTATCATATATCTTATGTTTTATATTGCATCATTACACTGTAATGTGGTCAAGGGGTATTATATTATATTGCATCAAAATGTACACTATCATATATTTTTACACTGTAATGTGGTCAAGGGGTATTATATTATATTGCATCAAAATGTACACTATCATATATTTTACACTGTAATGTGGTCAAGGGGCATTATTATATTATATTGCATCAAAATGTACACTATCATATATTGATACACTGTAATGTAATGTTGGCAAGGGGTATTATTATATTGCATCAAAATGTACACTATCATATATTTTTACATGTAATGTGGTCAAGTGCATTATATCATATTGCATCAAACATGTATCTTTTACACTGTAATGTGGGCAATGGGCATTATATTATATTGCATCAAACGGTGCACTATTGTATCTTTTACACTGTAATGTGGGCAAGGGGTATTATATTATATTGCATCAAAATGTACACTATCATATATTGTTATACTGTAATGTGGGCAAGGAGCATTGTATTATATTGCATCATACAGTGCACTATGTTATCTTCTAACACTGTAATGTGGGCAAGGAGCATTATATTATATTGCATCGAACATTACACTATGGTGTCTTTTCACACTGTAATGTGGACAAAAAGCATTATATTGCATGGCATCGAACAGTGTACTATGGTGTCTTTTTACACTGTAATGTGGGCATGGAGCATTATATTGAACAAATTTAAATTAATTTATCAGCAATTTTGGACCTCCTTAGATTATTTGGAAAGTATGTCACGTAAAATACATATAGGTTGTTTCAATAAAATAATTTAATTACCCAAACATTCGCATTAAACCAATTTGAATCAAGCGTTCGCATTATCTGCTACATTAGCATGGGCATAGATGGATGCTTCGACATATAACATCATATCTCAGAGACGTATTTGCATATGTTAAACGAGGTAACATTACCCATTTCAAAGATACAGAAGGGTTTTATATCATCAGTGGTGAGAAAGGTATTAACTTAATCCATCATTGTCACCAGTAACACATTGTCTAGGACGTAATGCTAACAGATGCGATATAATTACAAAGTCATACTTGTTATAAATCGACATGGTTTTTTAAAACTTAACGATATATCTGCATATCGCGGGTTCATCTCCGGGATGCACACTCCATCACCTTCACCATGCACACCAGGAAAGATTCATATCAACTTTGGTTTCAAGTAAAACGTACGATCTTTTAAGGAGAATGCACTGAAATACAGACATTTTAGATACAGTGCGTGTGTGAGCCACCCCACGTCTCCAAGTTGCTGGTGTAGGACACAATGCTTTATCTCTCCAGTTGAGGTAGCAGTGATGTGTAACGCCCTCTCAATACCGGGACAGTCGCACCGCTGATAGTTATGATAAACTTCATACAATGTATTTATTATAAACTACCTGGCGAAAGATAGTATACATTCATGTTAAAATATGATGTATTTGATACAGGTATCATTGGCGACACTGGACCTTACGTTTACAGTGTCTCGGCGACTTTTTCAGCCTAGCACAGGTTTCATTGCGTTTTTAAATTTTTGTCAAATCCAGTTTTCAAGAATGTACTTTCTTTGGCCCGGTAGTCTATATCGAAGAAAGCGATAATGTATCTCCACAAAAGCGTTTATATGAGCGATAAGATATTTAAGAAGAGAAACATGGGTTATCAGGAAACTTTGTGTTTACGATATAGTCATGCCATCATTGGTTGTGTCTAAAATAACGTGTTACAATTGAACAACGCGTCTTTTAGTGGGGATGACAGGTATTCAAAGTCGACAGCACATCCTGTCAGATACAAATTTGAATAACAGATACAGTATTTGAAAGTTATTTCTGTTATATTAGCTCAGTTATATACCGCGTAGATCCGGGTTAGAAGTGGTGTTCAGCAACACATGCTGTCGTATGAGACTTGGGTGGTAGACGCGTTGGCTTGATTGATACATCGTATCCCAGTTGCGTAGATCAATACTCATGATGTAAATCACTGGATTGTCTGGTCCAGTCTCGATTATTTACAGACCGCAGCTATATAGATGAATATTGCGGAGTGCGGAGTTAAACAATAAATGATACCTAAAACCGCAGTTACACAGATCTTAAGCATTTACCGGTCTTATGAACAAAGGAGCACGGGCTCAGTGCTGCCCAAACCAAAGATATTCATGTAATCAGGATGAACAAGGATTCCAACCTACGATCACGAATCCTGACATATCGAAGAGACCTTTTCCATGCTCGTATTGTTGACGGGAACCAAGTTAATAT